CATAATACACCCACTAACGAGAATCCAGACTAGGGACAGTCATTTATTGCGGAATTGATTTTTTTTTAATCTCACCCCTTTTATTTTAGTAATCTGAATAATTGACTTACAAAACAAACATAAAAAACATAACATAAAAATAGGTACAAGAAACAACTAACTGGATAATAGATAACAAAAAGTCACAAACGAATCAATACATTAAAACGACATAGGCAGTTCAATGCTTGCAATAGCTAAAAGCAAGCTGAAAGTACTTAACCTTTTGATATCGATTTCAGATACTTATGTGTTGTTATCTTAAGAAATTGATTGTTTCCTTTTTACATTCTTATCTCTCTCTCTTTTGTTTGTTCTTTATGTCTGATTGTTTTTTCTATTATCATTATTCCTTTTTTTAGATAATCTGAATAATTGACTTACAAAACAAACATAAAAAACATAACATACAAATCAGTACAAGAAACAACTAACTGGATAATAGATAACAAAATTAATTTTTGTTATCTATTATCCAGTTAGTTGTTTCTTGTACTGATTTTTATGTTATGTTTTTTATGTTTGTTTTGTAAGTCAGTTATTCAGATTACTAAAATAAAAGGGGTGAGATTAAAAAAAAATCAATTCCGCAATAATTTGATGATGATCTCGTTAGTGGATGTATTATGTCGTATCTTAATGTGTTTTTTCTTATTTGGTTCTTTTTTTTTATTTTTCTATATTTGAGAATTCGGTGTTGATGATCTTTGATTGCTTTTGTTTAATTTAGTCAAAACTTGTATAGATCAGGAACGATTTACAGCTTGACATATTGTATTGTAATGTGTATAAAATTATGATGTTGGTTTCAGTCCTGCATTGCAAGTCAAACAGTAACAGCATCTATTGAGAAAAAGTTCCAGCTTGGATGCGTAGATACAATGGCAAGTATTTGACAAAATTGTAAATGTTTCATAAAAGACAGTTGCTGGGCCACTATACTAACACTCAGTAGTAAACGAAACAAATGAATATACAAGTACTGTGAGTTGAAATAACAAATAAACTTTCCTTTGAATCAAAAATCAAAGTGAGTTTGTTTTTTTTGTAGAATAAATTTACAAAATGAAATTAAAACTCCATGTTTATTAGAAAATTGTTTGAAAAGAATGTGAAGGACTGTATATAAAAAAGAAGATGTGGTATGATTGCCAATGAGACAACTCTCCACAAGAGACTAATGACACAGAAATTAACAACTATAGGTCACCGAATGGCCTTCAACAATGAGCAAAGCCTATACCGCATAGTCAGCTATAAAAGGACCTGAAATGGCAAATGTAAAACAATTCAAACGAGAAAAAAACGACCTAATATATGTACAAAATAATGAACGAAAAACAAATATGAGAAACAGCACCAAACGACAACCACTGAATTACAGGCTTCTGACTTGAGACAGGCACATACAGAATGTGGCGGGCTGGAACTAGTTTTTTGGCGCCATACCCTCCCCTAACCTGGGACAGTGATGTAACGGTAAAACATAAGAACAAACTATACAAAACAATAAACGAAAAACAAATATGAGAAACAGCAACAAAGACAACCACTAAATTACAGGCTTCTGACTTGGGACAGGCACATACAGAATGTGGCGGGGTTGAACTAGTTTTTAGCACCAAACCCTTCCCCTAACCAGCTGGGACAGTGATGTTACGGTAAAACATAAAAATCAGTTGAAAAAGGCTTAACTCATCAGATGGATACAAATAGAAATACATCTAACAAACACACAGAGTAAATGTGGACGGGTACTTGTACATCCCAACAACAAAAAGACACTAAGTACAGATCTGCGAGTATTCGCAGTAACTGACAGCTAGTTCAAAACCAATAACAACTAATAAAAAATATCATGGTTTTAAGACTAAATTATCAATCAGTACACATCCAACATCCAATGGATTTAGTGTAAAGACGTTATAAACAGTCAGAGAAAAACATGACCTTGTGCAATGCCAAGATACAGGTATCGACAGATTGTAGAGCCATGAATGTGCACATGTATATAACTATAATATTTAGTTTGATTTTAATTTACTGAAAACAAAATCAATATTACTATTAATACCAGTAAAAACAATATTCAAAGATCTAATTACAGTGCTGAATTGGTAACCTTTATGAATAAGTTTATTTAAAGGATCAATAAGTTTACCGATGATCGTTTCTAAATTTCCGGGCTCGGTAAACAACATCTCCGTAAAAATGAGGATGTGCTATCCCGTTTAAAGTTTTCTACAGGTACAGTACAACCAAACTTCAAAACCAAATCTTTATATCTATGGAAGAATTTAGTAAAGGTTTCAAGTAATTTGTGGTAACGAAATCCCTGACTTAATAATTTACCAGTATACATAGATAACGTTCATTAAAATACAAAACATCACAACAGACATTGGCATAGCGAACGCGTTGTGATATATATAAACACCGTAAGATGGTGCCAAAGGAACATCACCATCCAAAAAAGAAAATTAACAATAGGGAACGAAAAATCGTCCCTTTTGTCGTAAATTTTAGTGTAGAGTTTCCCGTGTAAAACTGAAATATCTAAATCTTGGAAAGGACAGTTATTACCGTTTATATTTGATTTATTTAAAGTAAATTCCTTTGGGTAAATTTCGGCAGTATATTTAAAAAATTCTTGATAATTTAACGAAAAAATATCATCAAGATAACGGTAAGTGTTGTTGGATTTATCAATTAAATGCAAGTTAGACGGGTCTTTACTATTATACAATCTTAGGAAAACATGTATCTTGTTTTGTTAACTACACATGAACATTTTATAAAGACATTTCCGTTTTTTAATAAGTATCTCAAAAGAGTATCTTCTTGATTCTCCATATAACATACAATTTGGAGTAGAATTTAAAACTTTTTAACACTTCGAAATATTAAAAGAAAAAAAAAGGACTCAATAACGTCTTTGTTTTCAGAACCCTACTCTTATACAGCCGTAAAGCATGATAGATGATACTGAATACAATTGTTGTCTGCATTTATTTATCACAAGAGAGAGATTTTGTCAAGGGTGCATTTAAAATGCGTACGTCCTGCAAAAGACCCAACACCATGGCAAAAAACGGCAAACAACATTAACATATCACTATACTAAAAACTAAACCACAAATAAAGAGAAATGCTCCTAAAGGGTATGCAATTCCTGCTCCCCTATTATCACCCACCATGATACTCATTGCAAGTGAACATTGGATGATACCATTATTCAAGTGTTCCAAATGCTAAAGTTGAAGTCCTTCCATAGTTTTTTCAGACACCATCAGAATTTTGTCATAGTTGACCACGGATACGTATCACTTGTAACAATACCGACTGTCACATTTGATATAATCTTGAAAATTTTTTAGTGAAAATTTTTTTAATTTTTTTATTATCTTTATATGATAATCTTGCTAGAGCCAAAGCATTTTCCTCCTGACTAATCATATAGCATGTGTTGCATAGATATAAAGACAGGAAGAACAGCTACTTTGATGTATAAAAAATATATGAAATAAAGATAAAATTGATAAGTAACTATTTTGTTAATTGTTTTGTTAGGTATGTGCTGATTTGTTCGGGGCTCCTCCCCAACACACTCAGTCAAAAGTTAAACGAGATGTTGATTTAATTGGAGGCTGTTGTACTTCAGATTTATGCAATAAGTACGAGGAACCCGACAAAATACCTCTCCCAACAATAAATCCTGGTATGTACTTAATTTGATAATGGATTGAAATATCTTTATATCAGTCTGATGCTAGTATAAGTCACCTAAATTAACCACAGTTCTAGTATTAGATAAAAGGGTCATTCCGGACTAAACCGGAATAAGATACTTAAGGTCATCAATTAACATTTGTCGAAGACAGAAAGATAATTACCATGACCAAAAGAAAAGAGACGCTCGGAAAATAACAATGCACAAAACACTACAAAGAACACTAAAGGTAAAACAACACAAATCCCTCGAAAACCGGGCAGTAACCTAAATTGCTACTAAGTTCCTATTCCACTATTGACACCCGTCGTGTTGTTCATGTTAAGTAAAAAGGCTGTGATAACTGGCATAATAAGATGGTGTCATAAATGAGAAAACAGGAAGAGATTGTGGCTACGACAAGTAGAACATGATAGTGAACCGACCCTCGCTGTCAAATTCTAAATTTTATTCTAGATATGAAGCTGAACTTAGTGTTGTAACTTTTTCAATTAGATATATATATGATCATCATAAACAAAAATGGATCTAAAATGGCAAAATGAAACGCCATTATTGCTATATTGTAGATTAAAAAAAAAGTCCATCCATGAGGCAAATTCTCTATTAACTTAAAGGTTTCTTTCCATCAAATGTATACTCATACTTTTAATTAGATATGTCTAATTGACATATTGTTGAAGGTTTGTTTTCGTTTTTCAATGATATTTATTCAGCGTTCCATATTTCATTATATACTGACAGTTAAATTTAAAAAAAAAAAATGCTGGCTTTTAGCGAAAACAGGAAACGTTATATTAACGTATGCTATAAATTTCAACGGTACAATTGTGTACATGTCGATCCCGGCAGGGTCAAACTAAAAACTTCAAAAATTTGTATTTGCTGCCTCTACGCTAAATACGCGGCTTTGAGGAGAAAGAGCAAATACTGTTCAGCACGGAATCAGAATAATATGGCCGAGTATTGTGACATTAGGGTTTTTTTTGCAAACTGTTACCTTGTGAGCTAACACGATAAAATTAGACTCAGTGTGCCGGTCTAGTACAAAGCAAGTTTAATATCACAATAACATGTTCTCGTTCTTATCTGCATTTACGTTACACACTAATCCGTCATCATCATTAAATGTATACATCAATTTCGATAATGTTTTTTCTCTTTAATGAAGTCCAACCTTCCGGTAACACAAATGGGTTTAGTGCAACCTGTTCCGAAATTGACACTGAAGTTTGTCGATATATGTCGGAAAACAATGGATGTGGCCTGACTTGTGTGGCTTCTTTGTGTCCACAGACTTGTGGCAAATGTTGTAAGTATAATTTCAAATATTTCTTTTTTACTGACAGAAAGATGTTATTTTCTGGACAGGTAGAGGCCAGACAACTAAAAGTTGGACACCTCGACACCTGCAATATAGACGTATATTATAGTATCGGAACATCAACAAGTAATGCAAAGTAGAAATGAAAACGAGGCCAATGGCCAAGAAATATGAAGTTTTTGACAATAGGACATTTTTCATATTGATTTATTTATCAGGATTAACGAGGTTATTACGGTTAATTGATTTTAGAAAGAGGCGTCATTCCTAAAACAGCAATACTATTTTCTGCTTTGGTTGCTTGATATTACATTTGTAACTGTTTATCATAATTTGCCTGCAAACATTCATATTTAAAACGTTTAACGAAAAGTTATAGGCTAATAACCCACAGAAGAAATCCTCAAATGAAAGACATATGATCATACACTGTAATAAAAAATCATTGAACTAAGAATGTTTTCTTGTTGTTTTTATGCCCCATTTATTATGCCCCATTTATGGGCATTATGGTTTTAGGTGTGTGCGTCCGTTCGTCCGTTCGTTCGTTCGTCCGTCTGTTCGTTCGTTCGTTCGTCTGTCTGTCCGTCCGTCTGTCTGTCTGTCTGTCTGTCCCGCTTCAGGTTAAAGTTTTTGGTCAAGGTAGTTTTTGATGAAGTTGAAGTCCAATCAACTTGAAACTTAGTACACATGTTCCCTATGGTATAATCTTTCTAATGTGAATGCCAAATTAGAGTTGTGACTCCAATTTCACGGTCCACTGAACATAGAAAATGATAGTGCGAGTGGGGCATCCGTGTACTATGGACACATTCTTGTTTTTATTTCATGTAAGATTTTTCATGGTCAAATAAAAGAAGAAGTTCGGATATACGTCAATGAGATAGCATAAAAACGCCACCAAAAACCACAAAGACATCTGTGTTCCTGTCATCAAAATTAAAATGTGCAAAGAATATTGATTTTACTACTTCCTCAGTCCAGTGGTTGTCATTGATTGCTTTTGCTTTTTGGATTTTCGTTTAGAGTTTTTTTGCTTACATCAAACAATGATATATGTCTTGAGATATCTTGGTACGTATGTATTTGTCTTGGTTTGTCCTAAATCGTCTTGTATTTCTTGATATGTCTGAGTATGATATGATATGTCTTCCTACATATGTGTATGACTTCATTTATCTTGATTTGTCTTGGTATGACTTCATATTTCTAATTATGTCTAGGTTTATCTACATATGCCTGAACATGTCTTGAAAAGTCTTTGATAGTCTTGATATGTCTTGGTATTATGTCTTAATATGTCTTGGTATTATGTCTTAATAAGTCTTTGTTCGTCCTGATACGTATTGAGTTGTATTGGGTTGTATTGATGTGTCTCAGTCCTGGTAAGACTTGATATGTAATGCTATATCTAGGTATAGTTTGAAACGTCTTGAAATTTATGGTGTGTTTTGATTTTTTAAAAATGTATAGATATGTCTTTGTTTTTCTTGATTTGTCTTGTTTTGTCTTGATATGTCTTGGTATATCTTGTTATGTTTTGATATGTCTTGGTATGTCTTGGTACGTCTTTATATGTTTTTGTACGTCTTGGTACGTCTTGTTACGTCTTGATATGTCTTGGTATGTCTTGATATGTCTTGGTATGTCTTGATATGTCTTGGTATGTCTTGGTACCTCTTGATATGTCTGAATATGTCTTGGTACGTCTCGATATGTCTTGGTATGTCTTGGTACGTCTTGATATGTCTTGGTATGTCTTTGATCGTCTTGATATGTCTTGATATGTCTTGGTACGTCTCGATATGTCTTATTATCGGTCGTCCCACTGTCTATATCATACTGCTTAGCTCTTAATAAAATTGCATATCACGGCTTTGTGACGTCAAATACGTTGACCCGGCCTTAATAACTTTGACCCGAACATATCAGCGACGTCATAATGTATGAACCGACGTTGATAAATTTGACCCGAACTTATCAAGTCATCTTCCGGTTTGCTGGTGAAACCAAGAAAACACTTGTTTCTCTCTTGCAAAATACGTCTTGACATGTCTGTGTGTGCCTTGGTACGTCTGACTTTGTCTTGGTGTGATTTAAATTGCCTTAATATATTATTAATAGATTTTAATGTCTCAGTGTGTTTTATATGCCTTAGCATGTCTTGATATATTCCTATGCGTCTTCATAATTGTGTCTTGATATGCTTTTTATTGCTACGTCTTGTTATAACCTGGTATGTCTTGATATATTCTTATACGTCTTCATAATTATGTCTTGATATGCTTTTTAAGTGTATATAACTTGATATGTCCTGACTAGTCTTGACACTTCTTGTGTTGCTACGTCTTGGTATAATGTGGTACAAATTGATATGTCTTGGGTCGTCTTGATATGATATTTCTTCGTTTGTCTTGACAAGTCATAATATTTCTTAGGATATCTTGCTACATAAGATTTATATCTGTGTCTCATTCTAGTGTTGAAAGGGTATAATATCAAACTAAGGAAATCAGTGACTGTAGGAGTTATGTGTCTCAAAATAGAAGTTTAAATTTGTTTGATCGTTAGATTCACATAACTATATTGTGTTATTTTTTACAAAGCTCTGACTTGCTATGAGTGTGCAAGTGTTGACCTTCCAGGCAATTGCAGAAACAGAATAACGTGCAATGGAAATGAGGTGGGCTATATTTTTCTTCAGTGTTATATAATAGAAATACTTAATTGAATATTTTTTTCTCTTTCGGCCAAGTGACCCGTCGCTTACTATCCAATCTTTCGATCACGCACAAACTTCAAAGACGTGTTGTGAACATTGTATTTTAAACCATGGATATAAATAGAAGGAGATGTGCGGTATACGTCAAATAGACATCAATCCAACAATATAAACAAAAAAATAACCAATATACAGATGCATGTAATACCATATGTAAATTACCTTTGATAGTTTTTATAAACGTACTCGGATATTTATATCATATTTGATTGTCTCGGAAAGAAAAAAAATGCAGTTATTCAATAATAGTATTGTTGAAACTAGTTAGAAATAAAATAGATGGAAAACATATCAAATATTTCATAAAAATGGAGGTCATCTGTTTAAGTAGTGGATGCCTGTAACTTGCGGTCCTTTACGTTAGGGAGCTGCCATTCGATTTTTATGGGGGGGGGGAGGTCTAAAAAAAAATATGTAAAAGTGACGCTACCAAAATTCAAAATTGATCTGTGTTTTGTGGTAATAAGCATTGTGTATAAGTTTCATAACATTTGGTTGAGGCAAACTAAAGTTAGAAAGGGGGGGGGGGGGGGGGGGGGGGGGGATTGGGGCTAGGATGAAAAATTGTGTCCTGCATTTTGTTTTTAGTTGTAATCTCTGTCCTGCCTTTTTATTTTTCACTCTATTCGGTCCTGCCTTTTTTTTTTATTACTTTATCCTGACTTTTGTTTACATAAATTGTCATCCTGCTTTTTTTTTGCCAAGTTGCTCATCCTGCCTTTTTTTTTAACTCAAAACTCCTGTCCTGCCTATTTTTTTCAAATTTCATCCTAGCCCCCCATAAAAATCAAATGGTAGCTCGCTTAGATAACGGGCTTATTTTACTGCAGTGTACATCTGTGACTTATACAAATATTGAAAGTATAATAAACAAATGATTATATAATGATTGAGTGCATTACATTTGAAGGAAAGTTGTATAGCTGTAGAAAGTCATGAAGTTAATTTCAAAGAAGGATATAGATTAGGATGTGTTGCTAAACAGGTAAGTTGTTCGGTGAAGTTATAGCCTTGCACAATGTTAAACAAAGATGAAAAACCACAGCATAATCAAAGTTTGAAGAAAATAATGTTCCTACAAAAACAAACAAAATTGACCAAATTATTTTTTGTTTTTTTACAATTTTGGATTCAAAATGGGTTTATGTTGTCACCCTAACGCGTATATTATACGAACAGACATCAACAGATTTGCTTTAAAGAATCCGCACTTTAAACTTAATAAAACCTTTTAATAGACCATGCATTCAAAAAAGGCATACTAGTACATTTATATCAAAGCTGATACATATGTTAGTTTACTTTTGTGTTGTCTCCTGTCAAATTAACGACTGGGCAGTCTTGAGGTAACGTGTTTACATCGACTGTTGGGGACGGTATCGTTTTAAAAGGTTATGTGCTGCTTTTGAGAGAAATTATCATTTGCATTTCCTACAACAACCTTTTGCTACGATATCAGAAAAATTGTGTCCTGATAAATTGAAACAGTGTTAACTCATGAGATAGCGTATTGAATATCAAACTCAAATATTATTCAAAACATATTGCAGCTGTATGACCTTACGTTTACCATAGTGCATTTTGCTGTCAGCAGTCTCCGTCGATAAATTAAAAAATAGCATACTCAGACTTTCTTTTGAATCTGAATGATATACTTTAAAAAAAAATACTTGTTTGGGTTACATGTTATTTAAAAAAAAATAAGGAGTCGTTGTATATACAAATAAGAAGATGTGGTATGACTGCCAATGAGACTACTATCCAGATATCAGATGACCAGGATGTAAACAACTATAGATCACCGTCTGGCCTTCAACAATGAGCAAAACCCATACCGTAAAGTAAGTTATACTTTACCAAAGACCCGACAAAATAAGAAACAATTCATAGAGAAAAACAAATGCTTGATTTAATATGCTAAACAAAACGAAAAACGAATAATATGGCAGACAGCACACACCTACAACCTATGAATTACAGGTTCGTGATATGGGGAAGACACTAACAGGAAAAGGAAGAGAGAACCATTTCTTGAACACTCAATCCTTCCCTGAACCTAGTTCAGTGGAGTAACAGCACAATATATGATAAACTGCGTCTAGAAATTATGTTTCAAATGCTTTTTAACCTCTTAACTGGTTTTGTTTTTGGAAAGTTTTGTTTCGAGCGCCGTTGATGAATAGTAAATAATAAAAATTCGTAAGGGTTCCGCGGAACCCAGTGTCTCGCCTACTTTTTCTGTTAATCGCAGACTCAACAAAAATGAGGAAGTAAATCAATAAAAATATTCCTCTTGATACTATCTTTTGATTGTAAGAAGCTTCTGTCCAAGTTTGGTAAAAATCCAGGATAGTTTATGAATCTAATAAATGTTTAAAAACTTTAACTGCAGACTGAATGTAATGTTAACTGGAAGAAAACAAAATTTCCTTCTAGATACTAGCATCTGATCATAAACAAGCTTCTGTTAAAGTTTGGTACAAATCCAAAATAGTATAAGAAAATTATTAAAATTTTAAAAACTTTAACCACAGAGTGAATGTGTTGTTTCCTGGCAGAAAATCTAAGTCCATTTAAAAGTAAAATAAGGAAAAAATGGATTTATTTTTTTACAAAATTTCCTTCTAGATACTAGCTTTTGATCATAAACAAGCTTCTGTCCAAGTTTGGTACAAATCTAAAATAGTATAAGAAAGTTATTAAAATTTTAAAAACTTTAACCACAGAGTGAATGTGTTGTTTCCTGGCAGAAAATCTAAGTCAATTTAAAAGTAAAATAAGGAAAAAACGGATTTTTTTTTAACAAAATCTACTTCTGGATACTATCTTATGATCATAAACAAGCTTCTATCCAAGTTCGGTAGAAACCCAGGATAGTTTAAGAAAGTTATTAAAATTTTAAAAACTTTAAGCACAGAGTGAATGTAATATTTCCCGGCAGAAAAACTAAGTCCATTTATAAGTAAAATACGAAAAAAATTGAATTTTATTTTTACAAAATTTACTTCTGGATACTATCTTATGATCAAGCTTCTGTCCAAGTTTGGTAGAAATCCAGGATAGTTTAAGAAAGTTATTAAAATTTCAAAAACTTTAACCACAGAGTGAATATTTGTGGACGCCGACGGAATGTAGGATCGCTATGTCTAGCTTTTTCGACTAAAGTCGAAGGCTCGACAAAAAGCGCTTCTGGCGTAATACATTATATACTTGATATTCGTTATGAGATTTAAAAGTTGTTCTGGAAACAGTATTGATGAAAATATATATAGCAAGCAGTCAGAACAATTGATGGGTATCATGATAGTAAAGAATCAGGTGTGGTTGCGATATACGTAGAGGAACAACTTAGAACTAAATCAGGAATTTATTTACTATAAATGTATATATGAATGGTAGTAAAAAGAGAACACTTGTTATTAAATATTTCAACTTTAGTATATTTCACATTTTATTAATGCAGAATTGCAGGAATTTACTAGCAATGAAATTAGATGGAGTGTGCTGCGATAGCGATTTTTGCAACGGGAATCATGTTCCACCGACAACTCTTATTCCATCAACAACACAGGTCCCGTCAACAACTCCAAGTCTATCAAGTACAACTGTACACAGAACAACTGCATCAGTACATGCACATAATCATCTTGGTCTCCCAACAGGTATGTGAAGTACACATTAATGAGCTCTTCAAATATTCCAGAACCTTTTCACCACAATTAAGAATATCATTGGACATATTGTTTTCAAATATCAACTTAAAGAAATGTGGGATATGCGTCATTATGACAGCAAACAACTTTGCATATTTATATAATTTTGTTGTGTTTAGCATTGGCCGTATGTACCCAAAGGTAAAGACATAGTGAACTACCCGTTGAGAGGTGGTACAAATGCCAGTGAGACAACTTTCCATCCGAGACCAAAAAAAACCAAACAACTATATGTAAGAAAATATAGGCCGTAGTATGAATCAATAATTTGCACAGTCCCTACATGTTATTTAAGAATTGAATGCTTCTTTTTATAATTTTATTGGGGTGTAAAAGCATTCCATGAAGCACATTAAATTGGAAGCGCTAAAGCGCTTCATATTAAAAATTTGCGAACAATCAACGCTTTCATATTCCTACAAATTTAAAATTATAAAAGCAGCATTCAATTCTTATATTTAAAAAAAAAAATCGTGCTACAACCGTGAAAGTACGAGTTTTATCAAGCTTTTCGTTTGTTTTTCAATAACGGTTATTTTAACATTGTCACGGATAGCAAGTGCAGTCATATAGCTGTTTTTTTTACACGGAAATAAAATGCGAAATTGGATTGCCACGCAGTTGTTGTAAGTCAAACAAATTATGGATTGTAATGAAACAATTATGTAATGTTGTTATATGGCTTTCAATTAGTAGGGACGATTTAGGACTTGTCATGTTGTTTAGACGCCTGTCTTATTTTACTGTATATTGCCCTCAAGAACACTTTCTGTTAGGCTGCTGTCTTATTGACGTGTATACTATTAATTTATTATTTATATATATGTTATAATGATCATTATACATGTATATGCTGACTCTGAATCTCTTCATTCTTTTTATTTTTTAGACTGTACACCTAACCTTGAATACACCTGTCCGTACCAATTTACACGTATAGGAGAAAGCTGTTACTATTTTGGTCGTCACGGAAGAACAATGGAAGATGCAAGTGTATGTGTTTTATCTATATCACAAGTTCAAAGGTTTTTTGAGAATTCAATGCTTCTTTCTGTAATTTTATTGGGATGTAAAAGCATTTTGTATAAAGCGCGGAAGATGCAAGTGTATGAATTTCTTCTATATCATAAGTTAAAAAATTGTTTAGGAATACCTCTTTTTGATTTGTTTATTTTGGTGTTTAAAAAAACGTTGACCGAAGCACAATTTGTATGAAAATGGCGCGCACGATCAACGCTTTAACAACCCTTTAAAATTACTAAAAGAAGTATTCAGTTCTTATACCATGAAATAACGTTTTGTGACGTTGTCACGGGAAGCACGTGGTGTGTAAGGAATGCTGCATTTTATTGGGAAATAAAGTCTAAATTTGGAATGCCTCTCGATTATTGCCAGCCAATGCAAGAACTGATTCTTATGAAACATACATATGTAATCATTTATTTGTCATGTTTGCTGAATATTTACATCAATCTATGACTGGCTATCGGTACGACAGATGCAATTATAGGGCAATCTTATCAAAACTTACTGCACATGATTATGGAATCCATTGTATAGCCATAGCAAGCGGAAACGCAAACAAAATTCTCCTGTACGCGATAGCAAATACAACTGCTTTTAATAGCAATCGGAAACAATCGTATTGATTCGGCTGCTTTGGGTCTCTGAATAGCTGTCTATTGGCAAACATACCACATCTCCTTATTATATATGTGTTATGACTATGCACTATGTGTTTTAATCATTGTTGAAGGCCGTACATTGACCTATAGTTGTTAACTTACATGTCATTTGGTCTCTGGTGGAGATGTGTCTCATTGGCAATCATACCACATCTCATTATTTTTAAATATAAAGCATTCATAGATAAATAAATGAATAAATTAAATTGTCCTCATTAAAACTGAATATCTGATTATGAAGCAGCAAAAGCGGTTAAAAAAGTGATGAAATGAAACTTTTATCATCTTAACTATTTCATTTTATTACACAACATATAACTATAGTGTCACAAGGTACGTTAAGGAATATCTTCACAATACAGACATAATATCATTGGCGAAACCTAAGGATGTCGATCAATTGAGACGCACAGTTTACTCGTACTTTCGTTCATTCTACGTGTATCGAGAAATAATTAATTCGCTCATTGCAATTCTATCATACAAAGTATAACAGTGTATGATTCTCAGTTTGTACCGCCTCCATTGTTTAGATGGTTTTTGCTCGCTCTCGGATGCGGTTGGTCAAGGGTTCGACTCACAATGGGTTAGACCAAGGATCTGCAAATTTTTGTTTGCTGCTTTTTAACTAACAAATTAACGGTACAAACTGTTTTCCACCTGAGGCACATTTCAACAGGATATAGCGGATACGAATAAGACCAAACTTATGACTAGTAAGCTCGGAGTCTGAATAATCACGGTGTCTTTACAACATGCCATGTCTTCTTGTGTACTGTTACCTCCTTCCCAGTTTGTATGTTTCATAAAAAGCAGGGTCCATATGTATATCATTTTAACATGCTGTCGGCCTGGTATGCATGTGATATGTGCCCATGAACGCTTAACACCAATACATCCATCCACCATCCTACTTGCTAAATCATTAAGCATTCACAGAAAATTATAAACAATCGATAACTAAAACTATTGATTAGAGTATTTTCGTATTAACATTAACATAATATAATCAGTGTTGACACTGGCTCTTGTGAATGACAATATGTTGACCCCTATTGGTTTTTTTTAATTTTTGTGTGTTGTTGGGTTAATATTTTTTAAACGTTTACCTCGCATTACTTTTTGTTCAACATTATAAAAATAAGGAGATGTGGTATGATTGCCAATGAGATATCTATCCACCAAAGTAAAACATATAATGTGTTATAATGTGACATGTAAAATATGAAGTGGATGTAATTTGCACTTTTTTAAATTTTAATTAATAGTGATTGTTTAAATTTGTCAGTTGCTTCATCTATGATCGAACGAGCAAAATGTTATTCTATTGAAACTGACTTATTTCGACAAAAACACTACATATTTTTTTTTAATGTGAATCTGGACTACATATCTAATAATCGAATGCATCACTAAAAACTGTTATGAAATATTGAGAACTTCTAACTCGACAGTAGAACATTTGTTAAGGATGTTCGCTACTCTGTTTCAAAATAACAAGCTTTTTAAAAGACTGTTGTAAATTGATAGTATATAAATAAAGGAACTAAAAAAGCAGAAAAAAATGAAGGGTCCGTGTGCCTGTTTTCGATATATAAACCATTGAAAATTTGGCGGGAAATAATTCTCTCTAGACTTTTCATACATTTAACATTGGCACCCTTTTTCTTTAAAAAATTATGAAAAAAATAACAAGGATTTTATAGCATTTTTAAATATGGCTTTTTAAACTATATGTAATAAAATTATGAAAAGAAAAGTAGGGGTTAGCGGGGAATTTTTTTTAATGGCAGTACATGGATTAAACCAGAGGATTCCGAATATCTGGCAAAAATTCAAAAACAAGAGGAGCGAACATCCTTAAGTATCATCTTTATGTTGATATTCAGATCTTACAAATACGATTAAAAAACTGTCCATGTAAGAAGACAGTGAATTTATTATAGTACCTTTCCATGTCTATGAAGAAAGAGCAATTATTAATTGTTTAACATTTGTAGTTATGGATTAAATATAAATTTAATATAACATTGACTGAGCTTGAATGAGCAGATAACATTTACTGAGCGGATAAGCTTGAATAAACAGATAACATTTACTGAGCAAAAAAGCTTGAATGAGCAGATAAGCTTGAATGAGCAGATAACCATGACTGAGTAGATAACATTGACTGAGCAGATATCATTTACTGAGCAGATAACTACATTGACTGAGTAGATAACGTTGACTGAGTAGATACCATTGACTGAGTAGATAATATTGACTGAGCAGATATCATTTACTGAACAAATACCATTTACTGAGCATATACCATTGACTGAGCAGATAACTACATTGAATGAGTAAATAACATTGACTGAGGAGATAAGCTTGAATGAGCAGATAAGCTTGAATGAGCAGATACAATTGACTGAGGAGATAAGCTTGAATAAGCAGATAAGCTTGAATGAGCAGATTACCTTGACTGAGTAGATAAGCTTGAATGAGCAGATAAGCTTGAATAAGCAGATAAGCTAGAAAAAGCAGATAAGCTTGAATGAGCAGATAACCTTGACTGAGTAGATAGCATTGACTGAGCAGATATCATTTACTGAACAGATACCATTTACTGAGCATATACCATTAACTGAGCAGATAACTACATCGAATGAATAGATAACATTGACTGAGGAGATAAGCTTGAATGAGCAGATAAGCTTGAATGAGCAGATAACATTGACTGAGAAGATAAGCTTGAATGAGCAGATACCATTTACTGAGTAGATAACATTGACTGAGTAGATAATTTTGACTGAGCAAATAAGCTTGAATGATCAGATACCATTGACTAAGCAGATAAGCTTGCATAAGCAGATTACCTTGACTGAGTAGATAACATTGACTTAGCAGATAAGCTTGAATGAACAGATACCATTTACTGAGTAGATAACATTGACTGAGTAGATAAGTTTGACTGATCAAATAAGCTTGGATGATCAAATACCATTGACTGATCAGACAACATTGACTGGGCAGATAAGCTTGAATGAGCAGACAAGCTTGAATGAGCAGACAAGCTTGAATGAGCAGATAAAATTGACTGAGAAGATAAGCTTTAATGAACAAATACCGTTTACTGAGTAGATAACATTCACTGAGTAGATAACATTGACTGAGCAAATAAGCTTGAATGATCAGATTCCATTGACTGAGCAGATAGGCTTGCATGAGCAGATAAACTTGAATGACCACATTACCTTGAAGAAGTAGATAACATTGATTGAGCAAATAACATTGACTGAGCAGATACCATTGGCTGAGCAGATAAGCTTGAATGATCATATTCCATTGACTGAGCAGATAAGCTTGCATGAGCAGATAAACTTGAATGAGCACATTGCCTTGAAGGAGTAGATAACATTGACTGAGCAGATAAACTCAATGAGCAGATAACATTTACTGAGCAAATAACATTAACTGGGCAGATAACATTTACTGAGCAGAAAACATTGACTGATCAGCTAACATTGACTGAGCAGATAACATTGACTGAGCAGATAAGCTGGAATGAGCAGATAAGCTGGAATGAGCAGATAAAATTGACTGAGAAGATAAGCTTTAATGAACAAATACCGTTTACTGAGTAGATAACATTCACTGAGTAGATAACATTGACTGAGCAAATAAGCTTGAATGATCAGATTCCATTGACTGAGCAGATAGGCTTGCATGAGCAGATAAACTTGAATGACCACATTACCTTGAAGAAGTAGATAACATTGATTGAGCAAATAACATTGACTGAGCAGATACCATTGGCTGAGCAGATAAGCTTGAATGATCATATTCCATTGACTGAGCAGATAAGCTTGCATGAGCAGATAAACTTGAATGAGCACATTACCTTGAAGGAGTAGATAACATTGACTGAGCAGATAAACTCAATGAGCAGATAACATTTACTGAGCAAATAACATTAACTGGGCAGATAACATTTACTGAGCAGAAAACATTGACTGCACAGATAACATTTACTGAGCAGATAACATGTACTGAGCAAATAAGCTGGAATGAGCAGCTAACATTTACCCCTAGCAGATAAGCTTCAATGAGCAGATACCATTGACTTAGCAGATAAGCTTGAATGAGAATATATTATTGACTCAGCAGATAATATTTACGAAGGAGAAAACTTTGACCGAGGAGATAACCTTGAATGAGTAGATAGCCCTGCCTAAGCAGATAAGCTTGACTGAGCAGTTTGTGTGTCAATCATTGCGTTCTCTCAAATAAAGTCACTAAAATCGGTGAAAAGTCTTGAAAAACAAAGTCACCGTTATATATATTCGCAATACATATGTGACTCAGGTCTTCTGCTACTGTTTTGAAGACAAAAAGATCATCACATTCGTCAGGAACTTAATTTTGTGCGTTTAAGTCCTTACGTGTCTCTTGATAACAGTGAATCTAGGTGTGAAGCAGTCTTTTGGATTTAGGTTCAGAAATTTAGTTAGATTATATTTAAACTTGTTATGAAACATAAATGGTAAAATTATCTTTATAGTGGAAGCTTACTTGAAAAGTCCGGGATTTCGCCTGTTTATTCTTTTTTTTTGTTATAGACCTTGTGTGAATTTTACTTAGTTAGTTTACCTATTGCTTCATTTGTAAGAGTAAAGCAAAATGTAAACGAAGCCGAGGATTAAATGGTTCCAATTACAATGCAATCGTCTAATAAGAATAATAAAACTGAAATACTGGAAATGTTTTGTGGTTTTCCATCTCGATACGTATAATACAGAGCCTTGTGTTAGTGGCTTTAGAATTTGAACTCTCGCCATATCTCAAATATTACACCGAGTCAGAATCTGTTAGATTTACATGTACCCCCTTTATATATTAGATCCTTGAATGTCATTCATGGTTAGTAACATTTATATGGCAAAAGTACTCGTGTGACAGAACGCTATGTCTTCTTTTCTGTTTATAGAATAATCTTTCCGTTTCTCATCTTTTTGTACAGAAAGAGTGTTTAGGATTGTGTAGCAGACTAGCCATAATTAGTAGCCAAAATGAAAATCTTATGATAACCCAGCTCCTAAACCAGCACCAGCAACCACATACGGGTAATACATTATACATTATATACATGTGTAGCAAATTGATCAACTATGCGCTGATTACCACATGTAGCCAAAGTAATAAAAGCAAATGTAGGATAAGAGTTTAACTTAGTTAAACATAAAACAATAAAAGGAAGTATATAGATTGGGAATTTTGGCATGTTCAGCCAGAGCTAGCACATTTGCCATGCATTACTTAACACAAACTGATAAAGATTACACGTTACAATGATTATTTAACTTAACTTAACATAAAGAATAATGAACATTTTACTCTTTTGTTATTTATATCATTTCCAGTCTTGTTGTGTTTTTTATCATCTGTCTTGATGCATAGGAAATAAAGCCGGTTTTTTTTTTCGGAAAAAGAGGGTGAATGAAAAGAGCCGTTAATTTACAAAAATGGTAAAACTTACAGAAAGGGTCTCTTGTGATGTCAAAATGACGTCATAAGCATGTTGAAACTGACACTCTGGACTACAGTGGCAATTTATAACATAGTATTGGTAGACAATAGATATTTTACACACATTAACATTTTATAACAATATATCTTTTTGGCGGTAATGCCATGACTCATATCTAAATATTAATGACGAAATTTTAAATAAGAGCTATTTTGACAGTTTTGCAGTTATGCAGTTTAAACCCTATTGCTGCCAGAGGGACAAATGTGTTCACGCCACCAGCTGTGCCGGGGAGACAAATTTATCGGCAATTTGTACATTTTCCCTTTGATCCTACTGCCTTATATTTTTTAAGATCATGGACAGGACTTGATACTCGAAAATATTGGGCAATGACGTCATTTATCAGTGCAGCAACGTCACGTGATCAAGTCCATCCGCATCAATTCATCACATGTATACTACTTCATTCATTCAACCGAACAACTATCCCAACGTTTTGTACGCGTAAAAGTAGTTTTACTTACTATTTCATTTTACTTCATATTCTCCACCCAAAAAACATACAGTTAACACAAATTGCCGATAAAAAAAATAATGACATTTTATTTTTTGATACTGACTTCATCAGCTCGAATATCAGCTAGCCATAGCGGGCTCGCTTGATATTCTGACTGATAAAGTTAATATCAAAATCAAAAATGTCGTTATTCTATATATGTCCATTTGTTTAATTATGCAAGCTTTTAATCATTGCTGTATCTCTTTCAAATAAAAACTAGGGCGTGACGTTATATATATATCAAATTACGTCATTTGTGGGCATGTGACGTCATAGACGTCCAGGTGTCGTTTTTTCTGGCACACGAAATGCAACCATATAAAATTAGCAGCAGCAAGAGGGTTAAGCCTTAACTTTAATATATAAGACAAAATTTTAAACATTGAATACTGGTAACGGTCAGACTAATATCTAATGAGTACCTAAAGGATATTATTTGGTAGATTAGTAATACTTTACAATTCATAAAGTCAAGGGGCCATAAATGGTGCCTAATTATAAAAATGCGGCGATGTGGTATGATTGCCAATGATAAGACTATCAACCAGAATTCAAATGTTATGGATTTAATTTCAATTAGTCATCGTACGGTCTCTAACAATGAGTACAGTGTATTCAGCTATACAAGATATGGCAAAATATGAAACAATTCAAACAAAAAACCAAAGGGCGAATTGATGATAAACAGATAAACAAAAAAACAAAAAAAAAACAAATATAACAGTCAGCAACCATCGAAAACCACTGAATTACAGGCTCCTGACTTAGGACAGACAAATATGTAGAACTTGGTGATGTAAAGCGTGTTTCTTTACGGTAAAAAAAATTATGACATAAAAACAAAAGACACAAATTACCGATCTAAGAGAACTCACAGTTTCTGAAAGCTGCTTCCAATTTCATAACAACTAATAAATAAGTCATTTTCTCTCAGGCTAAAATATCAATCAGTACACATCCAACCGATTTATTAACAGTTTGATAAACAACCAAGATAGACTTGGATATAGGGGGAAAGAGTCAATTTTAAATACCCTTTCCTTTGCAAAGTGAGATGACTAACTTTCATGTGAAAAAGTTGGCACTGACTATATTTGATATACAAATTAATAATAACAATGATCCACTGAAATTACCAAATCTTAATGTTTTTTGTTTCCTTCACTACAACAATCTAACCAAATTTCAACTTCGCAGTAAAGTTGCATACACTATTTACAACAAACGTCTGATACTTTTAATCTTTTCCTAATAAAACAAAAAAACTGAATATACATTTCTAATAATCATCAGAAAAATTATTAACCAATATATCGAATTCCTGGTTTTAATTATCTTTAACTTTTGTTTCTCAAACATTTTTTTATAAAGACAATAGTTTATCAATTTTGTCTGGGCTCGTGTTTCTGAGTCTTTGATTTTCTATGTTGTACTTTGTAGACTGTTGTTTGTCTTTTCGTGGTTTTATGTTTTTTTTTAGTAGTTTGTTTTTTCCATGGCCTTTTCAGTTTGTCTTCGACGTATGAGTTTGAATACCTTTGACATTTTTCGTCTCTCTTTTTTTATGTGCCTAATAGTCAGTTTCAGGAAATAAAAATCAAATTAAAATTTACATTTGAAATAATTCAAATAAACTGAACATTTCCAATAGTATGTATAAATTAATTATACAATGATATAATTACTTGATTTTTCGCCATAACTAACAACTATACATTAAAATCAATAATAATTCAAACATAAGTATCCATCACCTCTGATTATATTGATAATTTTTTTTTATAACATGAAATTTAATTGTGTTCGTATACCAGTTTTTTTTCTCATTTTCACACGGAATTCCTTCATTTAATTGTTTGGTTTATTACAGCGAATCGTTATTGGCTTGACGCTTATAGGAATTCGTCAAGTTTCAGCGGACCGTGGCACTGGATGAGCACTGGTGAACTTTTAGGTAAACATGTGTACTCACATTGGAGGCCTGGATCACATAGTCACATAAAACCTGATGGCGAACACTGTGCTAGCATAGGAAAGGCAGAATCAAGTGACCCAGAAAATGGGTACTTTTGGGACCATAGAAGCTGTAAAGTTCACTCGCCTGCGCTCTGTGAATATCCAGTAGGACATAAACCCTGAAATAATAAAATATTTGAATATATATCTATGTTGTTACCTTAGGTTAGGTCTTGTGTATCATGATATGTTGCACATCCAGACAAAACAACTGATTTATAAGTTTAGTTAGGTTTTGGGGTTAGAAATTTTTTTTTCAGGAGTCAAAAAAATCTCTTGTGACATATTTCAAGGGATTTCATGATCGAGGAACTATATTAGTTCAAGGTTGATACGGTGCGGTATATTGAAAAACCATACCATATCATTTATAGTCGACAATAAACCTAAAAATAAAGTTTTTCACGTGACTGATATCGATGACAAGACGTCATACAGACTAGGGGTTTGATAAAACATTTGCAACCGTGACTAATTTCGATATCATCACGGATATCTGATACTGCACGATGGTGGTTGATCGTATGACACCTACAATCTACTTGTATTTACTTCGAAGTACTAAGTATATGATTAATCATATCTCCCTTTTCTGAATACATGTATCATTATTTGCCGCAAGACGTTGAACAATAATCAATCTAGGTTGACATTTCATGTTGATAGAATTGTTATTGTATGATTTCAATGAATTTTAATTATGTATATACTTTCTTTTGATCATTCAATTATTCTACGGTGATAATTTAGAAAAAAAATTATTAGCCCATTTTTCATCAATGATCAAACGGTAAAAACGTTCTTTTATTGAAATGTAAGCTACATTTATTTTGGTAAAATAAAAGTCCTTTTTGTTCGATCAAGTCTTATCTAAATGTATAGATAGAGTTCATAGAAAATATCGTATGTTGTTATCATTATAGGATTTGTTATACATCATCTTTACACTGATATTCTGACAAATACGGTAAAAAAACCCTTTCCAGGGTTATCACATTCTAGAACAGCGCTTTTCAGGTCTATAAATAAAGTGCAATTATTAACGAGATATAATCGTTAATTTAGAAAATTTTCAAATCCAAATTAACGTGGTCTTAGATACAATGTTAAATCAGTCCGACTGACCAAACTCTGATACATGTAAGTGTTGTTCGCAAAAGAGAGACACATTTCTGTTGCTGTACCTTTATCTATGATTTATCGATACATAACTTTTGTATCGATAATTAATTGACTTTTAATAATTGTACAGATGCAAACGATAAGAATTTGAGAAATTTAATGTTTTTGTGTACTAGTTACTAAATTTTTTTTTGTTCCTCGTTATTGCAAAAGTTTCATATTTGCAATTTCAAGGGAAAGAAATTAGACGAGAAGTACATACATGAATGGTCCTTAATGACATGGTAAATAGACAAAAAAATTAAATAGATGTGCATTCAATCCCATCCCAAGACATATGTCTTCAGAGGCAACTGTCACAGTAAGTGAAATGGTATAAATAACTATGATACGTTTCTGATGAGTATAGTGAATATAACATTTCTCATCAGCAAGGAAAGGACAAGATTTGGTTTCTGGAACTACCAATGTTTAACACAATTTAAAACAAATTATTCGTGGACATCACCCAGTTTTAGGGAACTCTTCGCCTTTCGGAATTTAGCTATTATAGTGTGATGTGAGGAAAGATAAAAAAAATACCTGCTTTCATCCACTGAAATGTCTTATAGTTGAAAAAGGTGATATTTTATTACATGATTATAAATGATAATATGACCAACAAAACAATATAGCTATAAAATAAGAAAATGTGGTATATGATTGCCAATGAGACAACTATCCACCAGAGACTAAATAACGTAGAAGTTTGAAAGTATATGTCACCGGACGGCATTGAACAATGAGCAATGAAGAATTCACTTAAAAGTCGGTCATGACTAATTATCTCTGTTGTGTTACTCCATTTACTGTCTTTAATTCAACTTTGTACATATTTTCTTAATTGAAACAGGATACAGAGGAATATGGCTTTACATATTGCTCTTTTATAAAAACACAACATCTTCAGTATAGAAAAGAATGGGCATATATAGTGCTTTAATTCATGACGTAAAATCACTACTAAAAAAAAAAGTCCAATTAAAGTAAGGATGAAGCCATCAACACGTAAGAAAATCTTCACCTCACTAGAAGTTTTATATTCAGAACATAGCAACGGATTGCATGGGTTTCTGTATGGCACTAGTCCCTTCAGTAATTAAACTTATCTCAGTACTCGGACTACAAATTATGTGCTCGAAATACCGAATCCAGTATTTTGATTGGTTAATTTCTGAGTTTGAGTACGATAATCGTACTCCATTTGTAGGACCCTAAGGCCAGATGTCAATAACGTTTTAATTTGTATTGAATGCTCTATTAAGTAGCGCAACATGCTATCAACGCTGTGATACGTAGCCTATAAGTTTGAAACATAGTGTAGTGCTGTGTCAGCATTTCTTGTTTTGACTTAATATTTCATATAGAGGTGGAATTTGTAATTCCCTAACATAAGCAAAATGCTATCAACGCTGTGAAACGTAGCCTATAAGTTTGAAACATAGTGTAGTGCTGTGTCAGCATTTCTTGTTTTGACTTAATATTTCATATAGAGGTGAAATTCGTAATTCCCTAACATAACAACTTAAATTTTATCTAAGTAAAAACACATTAAAGATATGCATATTCCATAATTATGTAACTGTACCTTGGATATAAATTCTTAGAAACATACACTTGCTTTTTTTCAATAACTATATTTTGTTATAAAGAGTTTTTTACGTACATTGGAGAGGTTTACATCGTCATTTATAGAAAATGACATCATATTCATATTGATATAAAAATAAGAAGATGTGGTATGATTGCCAATGAGACAACTCTCCACAAGAGACCAAATGACACAGAAATCAACAATTATAGGTCACCGTACATGCTTCAACAATGAGTAAAACTCATACCACATAGTCAGCTATAGAAGGCCCTTAAATGACAAACAAATGTAAAACAATTCAAACGAGAAAACTAACTGCCTGATTTATGAACAAAATAATGAACGAAAAACAAATATGATATACAGCAACAAACGACAACCACTGAAATGCAGGCTCCTCTCTTGGGAGAGGCACATACAGGATGGGGTGAAGCTAGTTAGATGGAGCCAAACCCTCCCCCTAACCTGGGACAGTGGTACAACAGCACAACACAAAAAAACACCATACAAAACAATAAACGAAAACAAATATATAAACAGCAACAAACAACAACCACCACTCAACTACAGGCTCCTGACTTGGGACAGGCACATTTAGAATGTGGCGGAGTTAAACTAGTTTGAAGGCGCCAACCCTCCCCTAACCTGGGATAGCTGTGTAACGGTACAACATAAGAAAAAACTATAAAAACCAGTGAAGGGCATAACTCATCATATAAATACAAAGCAGAAAGACATTTAAAAAAAACACAGAGTGGACGTGGCAGGGTACTTAAACATCCCCACATCAAAAAGACACTAAGTACAGATCTGAGAGTACTCACAGTTATTAACAGCTAGTCCAGAGTCAATAACAACTAATAATATAAAAAAAATGCATCTAAGACTAAAGTATCAATCAGTACACATCCAATGGATTTAGCGGAAAGATGTCATTAACAGTCAGAGTAAAACATGACCTTGTGCAATGCAAAGATACAGATATCGGCAGATTTCGACAGACTATGGTATACAATTTTAACTTTAAAAAAGTTTTGGAGCATACGCATTTTTGTGTATTAGAATAATAGATGTTGCGGTCATAAATAATAAAGGAACTCTTTTTTTATTATTTTTTTTTACCGTAAGTATCTATCTCGGCTATTTTGAGAGTCATTAGAACGAAATATACTTTCTAAAGAGGTTTGAATAGTTTCATAAATTAAAGATAAAAACCTGGCTGTATAAAAAATGAACTTCGAACTGCAAGAACAGGGTGACTAAAATTAGTTAAGATCAATTAAAGATTAAAGAACGATGGTCAAAACGAGTAAACACAAAAGTAACCGTATCGGGTTATTTGTCTACTCATACTATCTACGAATCAGATAGGAAAAAATAACTGGTACTAGCAAACAAAATAATCACATGCATAATGTATTCAATTTTACATGTATTAATTTGCAATAGGTATATCGATCATATGTCCTTGTTAGGCTACCATACAAAATATCTTATCAACTCAGCATGTGACTATTAAAACGTCTGACAGGTAGAACAATATTCATTCGGTAAGATCTATTGTTATGATTTTATTGTAAAAATGTAATCGGTAGTAATTTTTTCATATTAATAGCTGATTATTATATTACCAATTTAAGTATTGAAGCATTCAAAAGATGTATATTAAAGATTGTAGAAGAACAAGTGACACACAAGCAAAAACGAAAGTACATTTTCATTTGACGAATTAGTAAGATATCTACGTTAGCATGTTGCTACATTAAAGTAAAAGATATGAAGAGTAATTTAGTCAAAGTTATCAGAATCATGAGAAATAAATAGGCATTTATATCATACGTGTATACATATTAAAATTCATATTGCTTAAGCTCAGTAAATGGGACAATCTTTTAAAAGTAAATTACAGAAAGCTGAACCTGTCACAAAGTAAAAAATATTTTAAAACAAACTCTGAACAGTTAAATGTGCCGTGTTTTGAAGTAAACCATAACTTTGATTCTTTTTTGTTGTTGTTGCTAAAAAGTATTTCCTTTTCAAAGTTGTTTTTAGCAATTGATCAACAGTAAATTTGGTAAAATTATAAATAATAAATAAATAATTATGCTGTATATTTTTATCATTCATGTTTAATATTTATTAATGTATATACATGTTGTTTTAGTTGTTATCGTCTCTCATAAATCTGTACAGATTGGCTTATGTATAAAAACTGTATCTTTTTATAATTGTATTGGGTAATTGTATGCATAAGGTGAGACGTAAATAAAATATTGAATTGAATTGGTAAACTTGCAAAAATGATAGACAGCCTATTCATGTTCATTATGTACACATCATGATTCGGTCTCAAATATTCGTTTATTCTAATATGAGAGCCATAAAGAATCAATTAAACAACTAGATGATTGTATTATATAACTGCAATCTGTATATACATAAATATCGGTTTTTGAGCTGACGACATCACCAAATCATTTAAATGGAAATTTTTTTTCTAGTTAAACGATGGCTTCCAATTCGTATTGTGACCCTTGTTCAGAAGAAGGAAAATCAATAGCGGCAATAAGGTTTTGTTCAGATTGCGAAGAGCGTCTTTGTAAAGATTGCGTAGAATACCATAAGAAATTTAAAGCCACCAAGTCCCACCATTTGATGGACTTAACATCAATTTTGAGATCGAAAATACCGATTGCCAAGAGCTTTTGCAATGTTCATCCAGATGTACCGCTAGATTTTTACTGCACACAACACGATACAGTATGTTGTAGAGTATGTATGCCATCTTCTCATCAATCCTGCAAGGATGTCATTCCGCTAGAGATCGCTTCCAAACACATAAAACAATCTTCGTTATATGAAGACACATTAAGTGAATGGCAAAACATTGTTAAAACTTTGGATCATTTAAAAAAGGATCGACATGGTTATGCAGATGAATTAGAAACAGTAGAAACAGCCATATTAGTAGAGATCAACAAATGGAAAAAATATTTAATTCAACAAATCAACACTTTAGAAGAAAAACTGAAGACAGACCTCTCAAATGCCAAGAAGAAAATCTTAGATTTATATGGAAAAGGTGATTCTGAAATATCAGAACTGTATGATGTTGTGCAGGAGAGAAAACAGAACTCAAGGAACATGGATCAAATAATCAGTTGTACCTTACTCTTGGAGAACAAGGAAAAGGAGTTCAGGAAGTTATTAAACGGGTGCAGGATATGACACTGTCATACAAAAAGACAGATTTAAAATTTAAGAAAAACAGTGATACTGATATAAAATGTATTGGATCGATAGAAGAAGTTAGGACGGCACGTGTCATTCAGTATAGTCCAGTAAAACTACAGCAAGCTCAGGTTCAGCCAGTAAAAGTTGAATCAATGCTAACCTTCAAAAAGGAAATAACAGAACAGTTATATTTAGGGAAGCTCATCACAGATGTAGTTGTTACTGAAGACAATAAATTACTCTTGTGTGACTTTCAGAAAGAACGATATAACATATATGTTTTCAAAATAAATCAACAAAACCTAGCATACAACACAACATTAAGTGTCCCCAGTGGTCCATATGGAATTTCTAAATTAACTGGAACCGACAAAGTAATTGTTACATTGCCATACAAGTCTTATGTACAATTTATCGATACAAACACTTTGACGCTGGATAAAACCATCAAAGTAGGTCGAGACTGCTTTGGTATTACGACCACTGGGGATTATATTGCAGTCGGTAAAATAAGAGAAATCAAAATATTCAAATCAAAAGGAGAAAACATCAGGAACATTGTGTTAAGCGATTTATTAGATGATTCTAAGTATGTTAGTTCTCTGCACTACAATCATAATGATGGCAGCATAATTTATAGAAAAATGGGACTGATTAGTCGTATTCAGTTTGACGGAACAATATCATATAGGTATGTGTTGTCAGGAGAAGCAGGTTTAGCTGTTGATACACAAGGACAGGTGTACGTGTGTGAATTTGATCGAAGTGAGATTCAACGTTTATTACCAGATGGACGAGTCCGTGATGTAGTGATGACTTATAAGGATGGAATTAAAGATCCATTCGCTATTGCGTTTAATGAGAGATTTACCAAATTTGTTGTTACAAGTATCAATGGCTTGGTGCAGATCTACAATTGCAAATAGCTAGCTTTATGTTAAACTTGATTTGAATACTCTTAAGTATTTTGAATTGCATTATAATTGCTACTCTTACATTAAACATTTCAGTAAAATGAACAATAATTCAATTTAATAGTGTTCTTCTAAAAAAAGTGACTGCATATAGCTCTGCTTAGTAGTTGAGAATTGACCGATCTTAATATTGCACTTTCTAAAAAAAACGTGGGGGTGTGGTTTTGTTGATTAGTAGAACTTTAATAAGAAACAGGAACATGTAAAGAATTTTATAGCGTGAAACATACGTATACATATGTGAATGATATTTATAGATAAACAATGGTTTCAAATGCCAACAGGTCAACGTTTTGAGAAGGGGTCTTCTCAATGTTTACAACTACTACAGGCATTTATAATATTTTTTAAAAATTTATTTCATTTTAATTACTGTATAAAACTTTTATTTTGAATGATTTGCTACTTTATTGGCTCTGTTTAGGTGGAACCGTTAATTTTAACACTAATATTTAGATTTGTTTTAATTGACTGATAACAAAATCAATATTTATACAATTATAATAGCAATGTTCAAAGATCTAATTTCAGTGTTGAATTTGTAATCATTTGGAATAAGTTTATTTAAAGGAAAGATAAACGGATCTTTTCTAAATCAACGGGCTCGATAAACAACAACACCCGTTTTTAATTAGTTTTCTACAGGTACAACCAAACTCCCAAAACAAATCTTTCTATCTATGGAAGAATTTAGTAAAATTTTAAGTGAATTGTAGCAACGAAATCCTTGACTCAATTTTGTACCAGTAGTATATAGATTACGTTCATTGAAATCCAAAACGTCACTACTGACACGGACTTGGCGAACGAGTTGTTATTTATATAAACACCGTAAGATGTGCCAAAGGAATATCGCCGTCAAAAAAAGGAACATTAACAATAGGGACTGAAAAATCGTCTATTTTGTGGTAAAATTGTTTATAGATCTTCCCGTGTAGAACTGAATATAAAAATCTTGTAAAGGACAGTTATTAACGTTCATATTTGATGTTGGAAAATTTCGGCAGTATATTTAGAATATTATTTATTATTTAACGAAAAATGTTATCAAGATCACGGTAAATGTTGTTGAAATTATCAATTAAATGCAATTTAGACGGGTTTTTTTTTCTGAGTTTGGCCCTAAACTGTGATTCATTACAGTACAAAAACACGATTTAGGAGACAGATTTGTAAAAGCAAATTTGCTTGTTTCTGAATCCTTAATATTTATTTCAATTGTATCATATCGTTTTTTGTGATGAACTATCTGAATAAAATATTGTTTAAACTAAAAACAAGTCTGCTATTAAAGGGGAACAATTGGTACCCATCGGAAAATCTGCAAACTGTCGAAAAATGGTTTTGCAAAAATGTACATACATGTTGTTAAGGAGAAAATTTACAGCATGAATCATCTTATCACACTTCCAACAAGTATATCTAGCATATTTACCTTTCTCATTAGAGAATAATGCTTTATATGAATTGCAGAAAATAAATTTGCAATCAGAATTATCAAACGACCATTCAATTAAATAGAAAAACTTTTGTTTGATAAGATTTTTTTCGGTTTGGCTTTCATTTACAGTATTATCTTTCATAGATTGAAGACATTTGCATTGGTAATGTAACTTTCCACATTTAATTAACCAATGGTATGTTGTTTACCATATCTAGAATAGTATACCAATTGACTAAATAAAAAATAATAATAATACTTCTTTATTTAAAGAGGGTTACATGACTGGTGTTTGCATAACGACAGTTCCTTGATAAATATTACATACACTATTGTGAAGAGAACAAGTTAAACATTATATCAAACAGAAACGTTCTGCAAAGTCGGTCGACCGAATGCAAAAAAAAAGAAGAAAATTTAGACTACAGTTTAAAAGGACAGTTTGATAAAGGTTTGACTTTAGACTTGCAATAGGTAATGTACTCACCTTCAAGCTTTTGTTGAGTACAGGGAGGCTGACAGTTTCCAAAGAAGAAACTAGATCTAACAGAAGATATGTGTGATCTATTTGTCTTTGGACGTTCTGCAAACACCAGTCTATCAACTGGTTCTATTTTCTCACGGTCCTCAATTCGATCGGACGGCATGGATGCGTTTAAATACACGGAACACATCTTTACGGACGCCCCCTCAATACATGTCGTTTTGCTTGACGTACGATAAAAGTTTAGATAACCACATGTTGATACTTTTTATATATCATAGATAGAACAAAATATTTATTTTCTTTAAAATGATGTCAAATATTCCTCATCCCCCATAACAAAGTCGTTCCCAATAAAATTGATAAATAAAGAACTGCGTTGTGTGCAAAATTCGTACTTGATCGGCAAACTGCGGTGTTTAAATTGAAAACGGGTTTGTAATGAATTTTTGATAATACCCAATAACTATGCTTCGCATTGGACAAACTACATTTAACGACTCAGTAGGCCCAACATAAAGTGAACGACTGTAAACCACACAGTATTGGTAATTAACAATACAAAATATGATCTATGTACATAGAAAATGAAGTATAATATGATGATTATTTGTGTTCAGGAAATATGTTGCTCTGTCATTAACGATCCAGCCTGCCTGCAAAAACCAACCAGAACGAGTTAACTCGCGATCGGTCAAACTACAGTTTAAATGCAGTAAACTGATATTTTGACATGTCCAGCAAGGATTAACAATTTGCATTACATTAGCTTATGTTGCAACGATTATTTAACGTAAAGATTCATGATAATGTTATACCTTTTTATTTCTATTCATCTTCCAGTAATGAATTGGCATTTAATATCTGTCTTGATGCATATATAGAAAATACAGATGGCCATTTACGTGAAAGGAGGATGTATAAATAGAGCCATTATTTTACCCATCACATTTCAAAAATAGTAAAATTTTCGTGCATAAAGGTGACTTGTGAAGTCAACATGACGTCATAAACTTGCCGTTAATCGGGTTTTGTTGCCATAGCAGTTTCGGATTGTCTTCGACTTATGAGTTTGAATAACTGTTTGGTGTCTTCCGTCTCTCTTTATTAGATGCCTATGAGTGAGTTTTACAAGAAACAAGAAATACAAATCAAAGTAGCGAAAACCGTTTTTAAATACTAGTAATTCAAATATCTTTACAGTCCCAATTGTATTACTTAATTTGGACAATGATATGAATACTTGTTTTTTCGCCATAATTAGTTATACATGTACATTGAATTCTATAATGATTCAAAAAGAAGTATCCAGCACCTCTTATAATATTGATATCTATTGGGTGTTTTTATTACATACCATCTATTCTCGGAATGCTTTCGTTTAATTGTCTAACTGATGTCGCATATGTACTTATATACTTTATTTGATCTTTTACGCAAACATATGTACTCACATTGGAGGAATAAATCACAAAAACATATAAAACCTGATGGCAAACACTGTACTTGCATAGGAAAGGTCGATTCAAACGATCCAGGAAATGGATAATTTTGGGACCATAGAAGCTGAAAATATCATGCGCCTGCGCTTTGTGAGAATCCCTTACAACATGCACCCTGAAATGATAAAATAATTTGATAAATTTGATTTCTGTTGAACTTGATGGGTTTTTTGTTGGTTGATATAGTCAAGCGTTTGGTGTCACCTTATTAAATTAACCTTGGAGTTTAGTAATTTTGTAATTACATTTTGTCTAGGAAATAGAAACAACTGTTGTTTTTTTTTGTATATTGATGTACAAATGTATTCAAAGCATATCAAAAATATGATTACTTTTATTCAGAAAATCATTTCATTTTTAAAGGAACAAAAAATCCACATATGTGTGATCTCTAAAGTGAATCTGCAGAACATCCAACATTGAAATTTAAGTTCTGTGAGAAATGATAGTCCTTGAATAGTGTAAATTTTCAATAAAACCTATGACATAATTATTATTATACAATTTTACATTGGAAAGGTTTTGCAGGATACGTTTTAAGCGTATAACTATAATAAATTGAGGTTGATGTGGTCATTATTATACAACAACTCTTTTCTATTAAATGTTGCTTACCTTAAATATAAATCTCGGCTATTTCGAAAAGTCATCAGAACTGAATATACTTTCTAAAGAAGTTCGACTCATTCACACCTGGTTGTAATAAAAAGAACTTTGATTAATGAATAGAGGCTGACTAAGAATATACAAACAAGATTGACACAAGATTACATAACAATGGCCAATACGAGCTCACACAAAGTAGCCGTATTGGGTTATATGTCTACTCATATTCTATACGAGACGAAGAGGAAAAATAACTGGTAATAGCAAATGAAAAAATCACATAATGTAATAGTTCTTATGGTATGAATTCTTAATAGGTAAAGCGATCATATGTTCTTGTTAGGCTACCATACAAAATATCTTTATCAAATCAGCATGCGACTATTAAAACGTTCAACAGTTACACTGTGGACAGGTACAACACTATTTTTGGGTAAGATCTAGTATTGCTATGATTATCATTACTATACAGTACAAACTGTGGTAATAGCAAATGAAATAAAAACACGAGGTATTAAATTTTTATTGTATCAATTTTCAACAGGTAAATCAATCAAATGTCCTTGTTAAGCTACTATGCAAATTATCTCATCAAATCACCATGTGACTAAAACTTAAACAGGTACACTGTGGACAGGTACGATAATATTTATTCGGTAAGATCTAGTATTGCTATGATTATCATTAATGTATAGTCTGTGGTATATCTTGGTTAAAAATATCTATGATACATTTTGAAAGGACCAAGGACAAACAAGCAAATGCAAAAGTACAATTTCGTTTAAGTAAAAATACTACGTTAGAATGTTACAACATTACAGTAAAAGATATGAAGCTTTTTATTCGGTCAAAGGGAGATTCAAATCCTGAGCAGTTTATTTTGCCTATAGATTTTGAAATATATTACGGATTATAAATGTGTCAAGTCTTGTGTTTGGATAACAACAAAGAGATGTCGGTATATATTTAGGAAACAGCCGGGGGTTTATACCACTTTTTTTATCCCAATTGGAACCTCAACAACGTCATCATAACGAACATTACTATGTGACGTAGTCTTAGGCTATAAAGAACACTTAAAGAACGTCAGAGGCTCACAGAGGGAATAAAATGACGTGTATCTGTCAATAATACGTTTTTGATTTAAAATCACGTAATTTACACATCAAATACTTAATAAATGTCTTGTCTTAGAGTGTTATTATGAGTTTGACTGTCCCTCTGGTATCTTTCGTCCCTCTTTTATTACAAATTAATGCATACACGATAGTATTGTTTTCACAGCCAAAATTACAAAATCCCTCACGGTATACGGAAAATATATATACTGCATTGTGAATGTTAAACAAATATCTGGTACGTGAAAAAACATTAAGGCAGGGGTAATCCGTAATATATGTGTAATTCAGGTTTCAGACAGGGTATATAATGTGACATTCCCGGCTTAGGGTTTATATCCGAATGTAACATTATATATCATGTCTGAGACCTGAATAACATGAAATGTATGCTAAATGTAACAGACAATTTACGTCCCTAGGCAATAAGTTTTTGAAGCCAGGAAAACTTGGGGAATAATGAGAAAGTTTTCGTCAATTTATTACATCGATGTCTATTTACATAATTATGGGATCTTGTGCTGATTACAAAAATGATCATACCCGATACAATCGATCACTAAAAGGAATTTTTATCTTCTAGTTATACGATGTCTTCCAATTGGTATTGTGGCCCTTGTTCCGAAGATGGAAAATCGATAGAGGCAATAAAGTTTTGTTTAGATTGCAAAGAGTGTCTTTGTGAAGATTGTGTAGATCACCATAAGGTATTTAGAGCCACCAGGAGACACTGTTTGATGAGCTTGACGTCAATTTCGAGATCGAAAATACCAATAGAAGACGTCTTTGCAAGGTTCATCAAGATGTACCGCTAGATTTGTACTGTACGCATCACGGCACAGTATGTTGTAAAATATGCATATCTAGTTATCATCAGTCTTGCAAAGACGTCCTTCCGTTAGAGGTCGCTTCAAAAAACATAAACAAATCTTCTCTATTTGGAGATACATTACGTGAATGGCAAAATATTGGTACAACTTTGGATCATTTAAGAACGGCTCGAAATGAAAATATAAATGAATTAGACTCGGTAGAAACCGCCATTTTAGAAGATATCAGCAAATGGAAAAATCAATTAATTTCAAAAATCAGAACTTCAGAAAAAAAAATGAAGACAGACCTCTCAAATATCAAGGAGAAAACCGTAGATCTATTAAG